CAGGAAGCAAACACAGGCAATTAACTTGGCTCCAACAATGCATGTGGTCAAATAAGAAAGAAAACCCTTGCAGAGAGGCTGCACCCACCCCTAGTCCCTGCCTCCAGTGAATCCATAAATCTGGCTGTACTTTCACCCAGGCTACTGAGCACTAATGTTAAAGCACGTGACCACCAGAGGGGTATATGAGAACCATCATGACCCGCTGAGAAAGCCGCCCAGAGTCCCTGAGCCCAACGGGGCACCCAAAGGGCTGAGATGTTAACATCCCCATTTACCAGATGGGCAAACTGAGAAGAGAAAGTTTGAAGAACTTAAATGTAGAATTCTAGAAGGAACTTCTAGACTCTTGGCCTTTCTCTAGGGACTGGTACTTTTCCAGGTCTCAGTGTGACAACCAAGCCCTCAGCACTAACAATCCAGGGACAGAGTGGTCTGAGCAGAATCTCAGTCAGCAAGCCAGGCCATCCTGGCTGGTCATGGTCTGCTAAGAATTTTAACCTCCTTTTTATCCCTGGGAACTTCTGAACTTCACCTCCCTTGCCAGGGCAGGCAGCCAGTGCTGGCCAGGAAGGTCAGGCAGTGTGAGTCTCCTGGCACCTGCTGACCTCTGCCCTGAAACACTCAATCCTGATACAGAAACATTCACAATTCAGATGGCTGTGCTGCCATGGCTGGGTCAAAAGAGTCTCCTCTAACCTACTCTCTGAGATTCATCACGCCCAATCCTCCCTCCTGTAGATTTCTGGATTTCTTAAAGCATTTCAATAATTTTCATGACATACTATTTAGTACAGGGCCTGTGATTCAAATGGCTGAAGAAAACGAAAAGAAAAATTATATTTTGTGAAAAATTATATGAAACTGGATTTCACTGTTCATAAATAAACACAGCCATAGGTCCTCATTTATGCTGTTTACATCGCTGTGTTGCTGCATTGTTGCTGCTTTTGTATCCCAGAATTGAATCGTTGTGACACAGACCATAGGACTCACAAAGCCTGCATGTCTATTATCTGGCTCTTTTTCGAAAAAGTTTAGTTTTTTAACTGACCCCTGGTTTTAGGTAAAAAGCTGGTTACAGGATCACCCTATTTGCAAAATCCCCTGCTGTGGAATGATGTTGTGTCTCCTTAAATTTCATATTGTGGGAGCCCTGATGCCCAGTGTGGTGGTATTTGGAGGTAGGTCTTTGGGGAGGTAATTAGGTTTAGATGAAGTCATGATAGAGGCACTTGTGATGGGATTAGTGTTCTCATAAGAAGAGGAAGGCAGACCAGAGTGCACATCCTGCTGTAAGGACACAGCAAGAAGGTGGCCACCTGCAAGCCAGGAGGAGAGCCCTCACCAGCAACCAAATCTGCCGGCACCTTGATTTTGGATTCCCACTCTCAAGAACCATGATAAATAAACTTCTGTAGTTTAAGCCACCCAGTCTGTGCTATTTTGTTGTAGCAGCCTGAGCAGACCTTACACGTAGCCACACACATAAATCAAGGAAGAAAATATGCCCAAAGAGGAGTTATCTCTGCATGCTAAGATTACATGAAATTATTTAAAAATTTTCACTGAATACATTCAACATGAAAGCATAAAAAGAGAATATTAGTGATGTTATAAAAATAAGATGGTACTGTTTACTCTGTCTTACTGTGAGGCAGACACTGCTAGTGGTTGACATGCTTCCTTTCACCTGGTCCTCATTCCACCCTATGCTTAGGCTCCATTGTATCTCTGTTCTACAGAGGAGGGAAGGAAGACTTAGGGAATTTAAGTAACTTGTCCAAGGTCACTCTGCCAACAAGGAGCACTTTGTATATTACGACGGAAGCACACTTAAGAAGTGATAGAGAATTGAGCTGTAAATAGGGATTGGCTTAGAAAGATTGTTTTATTCCCATTCATGGAGACTAATCCTGGCAGATAATGAAGAAGATGCAGATGCTTAAGACATCCTCATGTCTAGTCTACCTCACAAGATTGCTGTGGAAATGAGATGTAATATACTTAGAAGTATTTGGAAAATGGCAGAGCACTGTTCTAACGGAGGTTGGATATTCAGAAACTTGTCAATATCTAACTTTCATTAGGCTGACTTCTCCACTTCTTCCATCAAATCTTTCTGAAATTAGAAACAACATAAATGTCCAAGAAGAGAGGACTGGCTGACTAAACTATGGTGCCTCCACTCAATGGAATACTATGCAACAATCGCAGAACCAGGCAATAGTCACATTGTTGCTCTATTTTTAGTGTTGTGGTTTAGAGGCTGTTCTGTGTAGTATAAAGCAAATGAGTAATTATGCTATCATCCCAGGGCCCTTGAAAGTCAGGATTCTCAGCATAGAGAAAAGAGGCACAGATGTAAGAAAGAAGTGGTTAAATAAAATCCTCCACAGGTCAGAATTTGAATTAAAAGAATCAGTATGAACTCATGATGTATTTTTATTATGAACAACAACACATTTCCTAGCTCTGTCAACTGAAAAGGGCAGACATGATAAACAATCCAGAAACAATGAGCACTCTTAAGTACCTAGATTTTAGTCTCTGAAAACCATTTCCCACTAAGCAGAATCAGGGATGCTTGGAGAAATGGCTTATTCTGAGTAAGGGCAAAGCCTGGAATATCTCAGCTTCCTTGCTATTTGGATGACATCAAAGACCACTAGGGCTGTGTCAGAAAGAGCTAAAGAGATGGTCCAATCCAAGCATCAATAAAAATCATCAGCAAAATGGATTAAAACATAGCACATATGTTTAAACCCATGAGTTTACAAAGATAGTAAAATCAAAACAATAGACCCTCATGTTTACCATAGGAAGATAATAGTAAACCACTCGTGTTGGAAACTGGTAAATGAAGGGATAGAATCAAACATTCATCCCGCTCTTCTCATGTGAACTGTACTGCTAGTTAATCCCATAGTAGTGGAGGGAAGTTTCTCTTTATCAAAGTATTCCAGCTACTAAGTAAAGAAAGAATGGTAAACTTAGTACGTCATCATTTTGTAACCTCTAATTAACTAATGGATATAAGCAATAGACATCAATATCTGCAAAAAAAGACAAAAAGAGAGGTGGCTAGACATGTGCCTTCTGATAGGAGAGCACCAACAATCCATGAAGTCGTTTTGTGCATAAAAATCAAACCTAAATCTGATTAAATAGCTAAAAGAATTAATTTATAGGAAAGAGAGATGACAGAAGAACATGTCAAATAGCACCACATGGCTGCAGTAAGAAAAATCCAGAGCTTGGAAATCTTTACAGGACAAAGGATCTAATTCCTTCCTCAAATAAATTGCAAGGGGATGTGGGGGTGGGGGGAGATGAAGGACATTGTGGCAATGTTAAAACAAAAGGCTCCATTTTCCTTAGTGGTACGTATCTCAGTGTTGCAAATAAAATGATGCAATATCTTGGATTTGTTTTAAAGTCACCTGGTGGCAGGTGAAAAAGTAGGTGGGGCTAGAGATAAAACAAGATCAGACATATACTGATGATTTCTGGGGCTGGATGAGGATCTATAAAGATTTGCTGTTTTGCTCTTTCCACTTTTCCAAGTGGTTAAAAGTTTTCATGATACAAATTAAATCCCTCCTGATGTCATGCTTGAAGTGGTAATACTATGCTGGATGCATCAAGGTTCCGACCAGTATCCCTCTTCTTGTGTTTCATGAATAATGGAGCTTTGAGCTTCAGCTGATCCATGCAGGGAACCCCCACAGAAGTTCCCTGTCACTCTCGTCTCTGGCCAAGTCAATATGGTGCTTGAAAGCATACATACACATAAGCAAAAACATCTCAGCAAAGAGCTCTCATGACTCAAACATTCTGCTTTGAAGCTGCAAGGGAGATAAAGGAGTCATGATTTCATGACTGGCACAGGCATCTGATGGAGTTCGTGACAGGAGGAGAGAAGTAGTTATGGCGCTGAGGTTAGCAGGTGTTTCCATCTTGAAGCTCTCAGCAAAGGACAAGGCAAATCCGATGACAAGGGACACTGTGTTCTCACACCATTATTTGCATGATGCGGCGACACTGAATTTCTTCAATCAGATCATAATGTCTGCAAGAGGTCAAACTACCCAAATTCTCTACTGGGGACCCCAGAGGTGAGAGAAATCAGTGGGGCCAAGGAGATAACAGCAAAATCTTAAGCCCTATCACTGGGTGTGGGATGGCGAGAGGAAATACAAATGAGGGGCCAGGAAGTAAGAAACCAATCCTATGCTTATTTTTAGAAATAACACCTCCCAGCCGTGAAAGTCTAGTCTGCTGTTCAGGGTGGTTTCCGTTTCTTCAGCCAGCATCGCTAGCATCTGTGAGCATCCTAATTGTGTCCTATAGGGTTGGAGGTCCCTCCTGCGGGCTTGCTTTAACCTAGGGCTCACCCGTTTGGGGTGCTTCTCACACTGTTGAAGCTGCCCGTTTACTTGTCTGTCTCCCACACTTGCTGGTAACCTCGTTGAGAACGGGGGGGTTTTGCCTGTTCTTTGTGGTATCTTACCACAGAGCATGGAGCCTGGAATGTGTTTAAAAATGTATTAAAAAAATATTCACTACAGAGTTGGAGATGGCTGCAGAAGCAGGGTAAAGGGGTAGTTATCAGTGTGGGCTTCAGAGGTAGACAGACGTGGGTCTGACTCATGGCGCTGCTAACTCACTATACCCACTTTGCCAATGCTGTGTTATGGTTTCCAGATTCTACCACTGACTTATTACAAGGCTTCAGATTTTGCAAAAGACTTTGAGCCTTTCCTGGAATACAGAAAGCACACAACTGCGCATTTTTGTTTCTTTGTAATAATGTCACTCATCTAGGAAAACGATCCTGGGATTTTGCTGTGCATCTATCTGGAATGGTTTCTACGGATGAACTTACAAATAACCAAATCTGGAATTTTAACTACCCACAGTGCCTTGGACTTGGGTTACTAGGTCAGGTGATGGACAAAAGAACACCTTATGACAATCAGTTGAGTAGATAAGCAAACCTGGGCATCTTCAAACGTGTATCTCCCTCCATCTTTGACGTTTTGACTGGTTATCTCATAGCTGTGAGAATCCAGGTTGATTGCACTTGGAGCCCCTGGAGCCAGAAACTCTTGCCAGATTTCTTCTACCCTCTTGGCCACATCCTGTAGGGGCTGTTTCTTAAGATCTTGGACAGCCAGCCAGAACCTGAAGTAGGAGCAGAAACACAGTCAGTTCAAGAGGGCTCAGCACCGGGATCTTGCCAGAGATGGCCCCAGAGCTGACAGCCCATGAAACCCATTCTGCTGCATCTCTTAGCTGCCCTGATGCCACCACACAGGCTGCAAAGACCATGGAGATGGCTGAAAATATCAAAGGTGTTCCACTGTTGTGGAGGACAGACAAGAACTGCATATTAAAAAAATCAATGTGCTTCTCATTATCTGAAAGAGATTTCTCTCCCTTTACAAAGTTTCTCAGCTCAGCACTATTGCTGCCACTTCGGGCTGGATAAGTCTTGGCTGCTGTGTATAATGTAGGATGTTCAGCAGCAACCTTGGCATCTACCCACTAGAGGCCAATAGCAAGCCCCCTTCCCAAGTTGCAACAACTAAACACGTTTCCAAACATTGCCCAATGTCCCCTGGGAGATGAACTCATTCCTGGCTGAGAACCCCGGTGCTACATACATGCTACCACACAGATAGTGTGAGTCCCTTTGTCAAATCTAGTTGGGATCAATTGGTGGCATCAAAATGAAGGAAAGATCACAGAAGCAGGCAGGATCCTGGAATCATAAAGACTATCTGTGCGAGCATGAAGCGGCCATTCCTATTCATTCCTATTATAGATGGAGAAACTGAGCCAGTTCAGATCAGTGTTCAGCATGGTGCTTGGTAAATAGCAGGTGCTCCATACATAGGTTTCAAAGTGAAGATGGGCGCATCTGGAACAGTGCTGAAGAGGCATACACTGAAGACTTCTGCTCACTTCTCTATTTCCCTCTGTTTAATCCCTCAGCGTCCGCAAGGGAGCAGCCCGTGGGAGAACCATGTGTGAGCTCTTTTCTGCTGAGAGCAGCAGCAGCCAGAGCCAAAGCTTGGACAACAGCTACCAGGTCTGGAGGACGCTTCCCAAGGCAGCCTTGCAGCAGGACCCAGGTCTGGGTGTCACATCCTTTGCCCTATGAACGGACAGGCCAGCTCCCCCACATCAGTGAGTCAGAGAGAAGGTCCCATGCTGGTTCCCATAGCTGCCGGAATCATAGGTAGTCTAGTCGACAGAAAGAGAGGGACGAGCCAAGCTGAACCACGACATGGCGGAAAGTGTAGACAGTGCATTCGATCTGTCATCAAATTTCATCCAAAGTAAGATGTACTTTTTTTTTTTTTTTTTTTTTTTTTTAAGGTTAAAACAGGTTTTTCTGTTGCTGTTCAATGTCTTTGGAGCCAAGTGCATGGCCCAAAGGTGCCACTCAGTGGCAGAGTAGAGTAATGCAGCCCCATTTCCACAAAGTGAGAAGACACCTGTGTGTGTGTGTGTGTGTCTGTGTGTGTGTGTGTGTGTGTGTGTATGTATGTGTGTGTGTGTGTGTGTGTGTGTGTGTGATGTGAGAGACCCTGTCCCCAAGTGCTGGGCTCCAACTTTTCCCATAATTTGCCATTTTTGGCCATTTAGGATTCTGATAGTTTCCTTAAAGGGACCCCTCAGTGACCCTGCAGAGATGAGGCAGGGAAGGCTTCATGACTCCCATCAGATGAGGAGGCGGGCTCTGACCTCCTTCTGTTTATGCATATCTTGGACCTTTCTGGGTGCCTCTCTCCTCATCTGTAACATGGGCACCGAGTGGATAGAGGGATATGTGACATGGCTCGGGAAAACTTCCCATCCAGACTTAACTCAGAGCTTTCAGGTCCTGTGAGTGGGAGCTGAGGAGGGGTCAGTGTGGTGGCCAAAGGCTCAACGCTGGCCCAGTGCGACCGCCCCCCACCCCCCCGGGATTCCAGCCCGCTCTCTGCAGGCGATCCCGGCAGACACTGCTGCCCAGCTCTTGCTGCTGCCATCTGGCGTCCCCTGCCCTTCCACAGCTCTCTGACTGCCCCAAGTCCTGGGCGCTCAGGTCCTTTTGGCTTCTGGGTGAGAGGAAAGCAGTCATGTTCCTTTATCCAGAGCCCAGAGAGGGCAGGGAAGGAAGGGCTGGGAAGGAGCTGCAGGCGGGCCCTTGACTCTCGAGCAGGGGGATGGGACTCCTTCATCTCCCAGGCCGGGCTCAGGTTCCTCAGGGCTCTCTGTCCACTCTCTCAGGTCTCAGAAGGAAGTAGCTGAGAGGCTTAAAGGTGAAAACGGCCATCTGCTGGCGAGAGTACCTACCAGGCTTTCCCTGTCTGGGAGGCCAGGTCTGACCAGCAGGTGAAAGACGCGGGGAACCTGGCTCTAAAGGAAGAAGCCAGTGTTGGTGTCGCCGAGCACCAGAAGGAGTCAAGTCTCCAGAGATGAAGTCAGTGAGTGCTCCTCAGCGCCATATCACATAGGGAGGCGCCTGGGCTGAACCCTGGCTGGAAGCAACCTTCTGGGTCAGCGTCTTCCCACGCCCCCTGGGCCCCTGCAACTTGTCACACAAATGGATGACACCCGGGTGATTTCCTGCCCCTCAATCAATGCCACATGGGAGGCCGCCTTCTGCCATCTCTGTCAGTGCTGCGGAAGAGCTGCTCAGTCCCTCTGGGAAGGCCCCGAAAACCTCAGGAGCTCTGCAGTCTCCCTGCGGTTCCTGAGGGCTCAGGGTCTTTTTTGCAGGATGATTTGGGGGCCACCTGAAAATGCACATCACTTAGCTGGATATAGAGATAACCCAGAGCTGATGGAAATACAAATTTCAGAATTTTTTTTTTTTTTTTTTTTGAGACAGGGTCTCGCTCTGTAGCCCAGGCTGGAGTGCAGTGGCAGGATCTTGGCTCTCTGCAACCTCTGCCTCTCAGGTTCATGCGATTCTCCTGCCTCAGCCTCCTGAGTAGTTGGAATTCTAGGGGCATGTCACCATGCCCAGCTAATTTTTGTATTTTTAATCAAGATGGGGTTTCACCATGTTGGCCAGGCTGGTCTCGAACTCCTGGCCTCAAGTGATCCGCCCGCCCTCAGCCTCTCAAAGTGCTGGGATGACAGGCGTGCCATCACACCAGGCCCCAGAATCAAATTTAATATACGTTTACATAAAAATAAAAAGGTTTCCTTTGTCACATAAAACCAAGATTTTTTTTTAAGTACAAGGAAAAACAACAGGCGTGTTGGAGGAAGAGGAAGGGGATGGGGGGAGAAAAGGAGGGAAGGAGGGGAAGGGGGAGAAGAGACAGGGGGAGGGTGTGGGGTAACGTTCCCTAGACAGCGGTTTTCTCTCCCTGCACACACTGGGGACTCTCCCTGGCCTTCTGCCTGCCTTGTCTCTCTCAGACAACAGCAAAAATGCCGTCACAACAGCATCCGGACATCCCATGCGTTTACCATCACGGGTTTCGAAGAACCTTTGTGTCCATTTGCAATTCAGAACAGGCTTTGGTTTATGTTGGCTGGCCATCTTCGAGCCCCACAGGCCTGAGCCGGGAACTCGGAGCCCAGGCTGCCCAGGCCACCCTCCCCGCCGCAGAGAGCCACAGCAGCCCCTCTCTGCATATCTGCTGCCCATGGGAGGCCTGCTGAGGCTTTGGAAGCTTCTGCTCTTAACCTGCAGGTACCGCTCCTCCCCGAGGGCAGCAGCGGGGAGTGAAATGTCAGCAACTGCATCAAATCCACCCATCCTGCACTAAGCTCCGTGGCTTGCTGCAGAAGGGCCGCTGTGACTGGCAGGCCACAGGAACTGGCATCTGGGAGACCACCTGTCCTGCTCTGACCCTGGTCCATGCCAATTGTCATAGCAGCAGTGGGGAGGCAGCTCCCGTGCAGGCATTTGATCCCTGTTCGTGACTTAGAAATGCTGGTGGGGCCGGGCGTGGCGGCTCACACCTGTAATCCCAGCACTTTGGGAGGCTGAGGTGGGCAGATCACCAGGTCCGGAGTTCGAGATCAGCCTGACCAACATGGAGAATCCCTATCTATATTAAAAATGCAACAATTAGCCAGGTGTGGTGGCACACGCCTGTAATCCTAGTTACTCAAGGAGGCCGAGGCAGGAGAATTGCTTGAACCTGGGAGGTGGAGGTTGCAGTGAGTCAAGATCACACCACTGCACTCCAGCCTGGGTGACAGGACGAGACTCCACCTCAAAAAAAAAAAAAAAAAAAAAAAAAAAAAGAAAAGAAAAGAAAAGAAAAGAAAAGAAAAGAGAAAAGAAATGCTGGTGGGGAAATTGGCATTTGGAGAGAGGCAGCCCGGGCTCAGACATCACTGGGGCAAAGCAGCGGAGAACAGGATGGGAGGCCACCCAGGGGGAGGCCCCTTTCTCCCTAGAGGCTTTCAAGGAATAGGATTTTCTCTCAAGGCTGGCTGCGCAAGACAAATCATGTGGCCTTTGATCATTCTCCACCCTGCCAGGAGGTCTGGGTGGACCCTCAGTCACCGCTTTACATATCTTTTCATAAACTAGAATTTTCATGGGTTTGAAAATACAGCTTTTGGTTTGTTCCCAGAGAAAAAGCAAACTCCGGGAGAGAAGAAAGTGTTTCTGTGCCCTCTGCTGGTCAGCCGGAGACGCAGGAACAGGGCTTAAACTTGGTTTAGTTCCCTGAGGGGCTGAAATTCCCAGGCACGGACATTAGTAACCACCCCCCAGCACCACCGAAGCTCAGTTCTGCTCACTGGGGCAGTGGCTGAAACACTGCAGATGGTTGTGGTGTCGTGGGAGTCATCTCTGTTCCTATTAATCGTGGGTTTGGTAAGTGGCGGGTCCTGCTGGGCCTAGCAAACCTTCTGAGGTCAGGACTCCAGGGCCCCTGCCTGAGCTCCGGAGAGGAACCAGGCATCCCACTGTGTTCCCTTTTAATTGCTTCTCCCTTCAGCCGACACTGTGTGGAACTCGGATCACCAATCTTCAGGTTAGAGGAACAACTACCTTCTCTCAGGAGATGTTACAGCTCATAAAAAATGTACAGGGGACACTCTTGGCTGTGGATTTTGATTTTTAACTCATTCTCTGCCATGCAGCAGAGGGTGTAAGCCAGGTAGGACAAAAATTTGTGTAGGGGAGATATGGGAGAGGGCACAAAGATGGATGGGGCACAAAGATGGATGGCAAGGAGTGACTGTCACTATTCCGGGAAAACGCACAAAGCAGGCGGAAGGATGAGGCCAAGAAACTGAGTGGAGCTCCCTGTCTCAGAGCTGCGAGGCCCCTGCCCTGTGGACAGAGCCATCTGCATTCCCAAGGCACTCAGCAAACAGCTGTCTGTGGCTCCATTCAGGGCAAAGGGAGCTGCATCTGGCTCAGGGTGGGTCTGAGAAGGAGAAAAAGATGTCGTCCTTGCCACAGAGAGCTCACCGCTTCAGCAAAATGCACTGCTGGCCATACCCCACCCAGTCCACAGAGATGACGCCCCCACCCTCATCTCACAGACCCACCCGGGAGAGACTGATCAAAGGGAACTTCAAATTCTACTGCGTCATCATAGAAGTCATTCCTTAAAGGATCCAGGGTGACACTTTGGTTCTCCTCCGTTCTGCATTCTGAAGCTCTGACACAAATTCAGCCGCTTGGCTACTTAACTGGCACCCCGTGCGTTGTGCAAAATGTGATGATCTCAGCATCCCTTTCACTGGAGAGACAAGAGGGAGCACAGGAGGATGCAGGAAGTGGACAAGCACTTTGTAATTTACCCAGGCGAGTTCTGGGGCAGGCATTTTCCTGCCATGCTACAGTGCCAGTGGCCTGGGCCTCTGACCAACCCTGCAGAGAATGGATGGCTCCAGCACAGCCAACATGACGGGCTGGCAGGGTCCTCAAGTTGTGCCATGTTGCACAACTCCCAGGGGCCGCCATGGCATGGGCCACAGCGGAGGTGCGTCTGCACGGCTGTGCATGGCTGCCCTGAGATTTACACAGTCAGCTTTGAATCCTAGGCCCCATGCTGCGGTAGGGGTTACGTTGGCAACTGCAGCTGAAGGAATGGGGAAGAGGCCACCCTGTGATGGCTGACAGAAGAGTCCTACAGTTATGTGATTGATAACTGGGCTTCTCTCCCACCCACCATGTAGCCAGTCATGCTGAAGATCATAAAAATGGAACTTGGGCATCCAGAGAGGATTTCAGAGGCTCTCGCCTCTCCTTTTCCTCCTTGCTATTCTATTTTCCTTACTCCCTTTCCTGTTAGGGATCGGGGTGACCCTCTGAAGTCTGGATTTCTGCATGCTAGGGGGTGTGGCTTAGGCTCTGGTACACAGACACATGCTCACACGCATGCGTTTACCCAAGATTAAATGTAGTCCTCCTGGCACGGGGAACGGAGCTGGCAGAGGTACAGGAGGTGATGGCAGGAGGAGGCACTGAACACCTGCCAGGGACACACTCCTCGGTGCATTCCAGGCCTTAAGTGTGATGCATAATTTGTGAAACTAGTCTGAACTGCTGTGTGGTTCTGACTGCACTCAGGGCTTTCCAGAATCAATGCTCTGACCAGACAAGGTGGCAGCTAAGCCAGTGGATGCTCCTGGGACCCTCACAATGACCAGATCCTGGGTCATTCTTCAAGCTCTCTGCAATAGTGTGGGCAGTGCTACCTGTGGGCTGAGATGTAATTAGGTAAAGGAGGACTCTATACCACTCCATCCTGGAGACCCAAAGGGAACAGGTAAGAAGGGGAGATGAGAAAGACTCCCAGAGGTGGCTCATAGGGGCCATGGTGGGGGTGGAAACTGGGACTGAGCTGCCTACACAAAGAGACCACCTGGGTCCATCAAGCTGGCCACAGAGGGCTTTCCTTCCTATGCCTGGGAAGCTAGTCTGGGCACCACCCTGGTGAAGGGTATGAGAAGTCAAACCTTCTGTTACAAATACTTCATCAGGCACTGAAGCAAAGATCTGAAGTGTTTGGAATCATGCTTCAGCATAAGGAAAGGTGCCTGTATCATAACCCAAAATAAGATACTCAGCCTTATCTGGTTTACAACAGACACATGGCTGCCTAGAATGGTATGCTCCGTACAGCTGGTCAGCACCTACACGTCCTCCCAGGACCTTACAGCGTGGGAGAGTCGCACGGCCACCCCTTTCCTCATTTGGTCCTCCAGCTTGGAGTATTCTCTCTCCTTCTTCTTTGTCTACCGTTATTTTGTATATTCTTTAAAGTCCAGCTTATGATTTAACCACCTCAGCTTTCATTGATTCTTCTCCTTTAAATGCTTTCAAAACGGTTCTTAGAGTTTTACACTCATTTACAGACATTCAACGATTTAATCACTTCTTGTGCTTTTAAGGTCGTTGCAGGCAAAGATCACACATCTTGACTTGTGTCTCTCAGCAGACTCTCACGGGGCTTGATACAGCACAGGTGTGGCATAAATATCACTTGATTGACGTATGGGACTAAGATGGTCTCAACTTCAACTAAGTAGATGGATGTTACACATCAACTTTGGAGGGGCAGTCCTTTGCCTGCAGTACATGCTCTGAGTTTTTAAAGTAATACAATATTTAAACATTATTAAGACATCTTTAAAGAAAACAGCACTGGAAGATGGGTGTTACTCTGCTATATAAATCAGAACCTGGCCCAAAGAAAAAAGAGAGAGAGAGATTCCATCTTACCCATTAAGAAATCATCAGTTTGCTAAGATCACTAGGTAAGTCTTAGATAAGTCACATTTTCTTTGGATTTCTGACTCTTCATCTAACACGATAAAAGTTTAAATAAACAAGTTCTCAGATTTTTCATGACCAAAGAGATTTTCCTTTTAATTTGCCCCCTTTTCTTCTTCATATTGGACCTGAGGTTTTGAGTATCTTATTTTTTTCTCCTATTGAACAGTAATTATTAATACAATCTCATCAAGTATTAGTTATAGAACAACAGGATCAATCAGATGTTCTCACTGGCATCAGTAACCACTATTTGGAGTTGACAGAAGTTGTTCTAAAAGAAAAAAGCATGCTTTTATTAGCTGCTGCAGTTACATAGTTGCTACAGTTACATCTCTGGTTACTGAGTGGTATTTACTTTGCTCTTTGAAATTCTTTTTTTTTTTTTAATTTCACCCAATAATTTTTTTTAATTGCACTTGAGGTTTTGGGGTACATGTGAAGAACATGCAAGATTGTTGCATAGGTACACACATGGCAGTGTGGTTTGCTGATTTCCTTCCCCTCGCCTGTATCTGTCATTTCTCTCCATGCTCTTTGAAATTCTGAAATGAGCCCACTGACTCCTCCCTCTTCTGTTTAGCGTCTCAGATATTCAGGTCCCTAGACTGGGAAGTTTGGAGGAGAGAGCCTCTGAGCTGCCTCTCCACTCTGAAGCTTCCTGGTTCTATGGCTGTACTTAACGAATAATGTCATCAAATCCGTTTGACTATTTAATTATTATTGAAGACTTACTTCCAGTTAGTTGAACAAAGGTCATAGAGACTTGAAGTAAAACATGCTGGTGTTAGTAGGTGCTATTATGGTGGAGACAGAGTTGCATATTTTAATTTGTTCTTCCCCATTTCAACCTCAGCCAGATTAGCTGGCAGTTGAATTTGAACCCTGATAATGTTTTATTGAGAAAGAAAGATGGAGAGACCGATTATGCAAATTTCTTCACACACTTTCTGCACACAGCTCAAACTTTGAGAGATTTACCTGAGGTTTTCTGAACTGAATTCGGACTCCAGGAATCGTAGAAACTGGTCCCGTCCCACCTGGTCCTTCAATATCTCATCGAAAGAGAAGCCCCATCTTTTTACCCGCTGTTGGCTGGGCTCTTTGCTTTGGGGTGAAAGAAGGTTTAGAAAAAAATCAATACCAGGGAAAAGCTTGTGTCATATTCTCTTCAGTGACTCAAATCTGTCTTGCAGTCATGCACCAAAGGGAAACATCTCATGTTCAAGGGGAAGATTCTATAAAAGCTGCACAAATTCCAAATGCAGACCTTTGTATACCAATAGTAACCAATGATGAACAGTTTCTTTAAGGAGGCATGTTAAGGGATCGTCACCAGCATGCCCTTCAAATGGCTGCTGTCTACCATGCCATTTATTAAGCTCCCTGGGCCATTCCTGTCAATTATGGACCCAACTTTTGACTCCATAATTTTTTCATGAGTACTATAACCCAGGATGCTCAACGGACCCAATCTTTCATCAAAACACATTATCCCCCACCTCCCACACCTTCTTCAACTCTCAGGGGAGAAATCAGGGTCCTGCTTAGAGTCAAGGGATATACAACTGGTTAAAAATGTATTGACACATTCAGAGTAAAGCACATTCTCTGGTTAGAAGCAGTCTGTCACATGCATTTATTGCTTTAGCAACCATGTACAGTGCTTACCATGTGCTAGACATTGTCCAAGCATTTGACATCTGTTAACTCACTGAGTCCTCACAACTACTCTGTGAAAAATTTACTAGTATTATTCCCATCTTCCAGATAGAGAAAGTAAGGCCTCATGATAGTTTGCCTAAGGACACACAGCTAGGAAGTAATGAAGTCAAGAATCAAATCTAGACAGCAAGGCTCCAGAGGACATCCAGTTTTTTTTTTTTTTTTTTTGAGACTGAGTCTCACTCTGTCAGAGTGTAGTGGTGCGATCTTGGCTTACTGTGACCTCTGCCTTCCCAGGTTCAAGCGATTCTCCTGCTTAAGCCTCCTGAGTAGCTAGGACTACAGGTGTGCACCACACGGCCAGCTATTTTTTTGTATTTTTAGGAGAGATAGAGTTTCACCATGTGGGCCAGGCTGGTCTCGAACTCCTGACCTCAGGTGATCCCGCAATGTGATGTGTAGAAGATTCACTCAGGGTGGTTGGGAAACTATTAAGGGAAATATCTGGGAAAGTGGTAAGATTATAGTCTCAAACCTTTTGGAAAGCTGAAAGGTTTTTATTAACTTATGTGACAGGTTGAAGGCAGCCAGTCCTTACCTTAGAGCCTGAGGTCATAGAGTGAAGATTAGGGATAACAGAAGCATCCCCAGTTATGTCTGTTTAACCCTACATTCCTTTGTCTCTACTCTACCTACTTGTTTACTCATATAAAGTTTGTGCTAGATAGCCCTCAGGGGAGGTTGAAGGGGGATTACTGGTTAATGGTGTTTGCTGTGGGCTCTGGAACCAAACCTTTTGTCATTCGTAAAACCACTCTTTTAACCATGTTAATTATCGACAAGCATGTTGACTTATAACCTCTGTTATTAAATCTATACTGAATAAATGCGAGGGCGAACAGCAAGTAGGGGCTGGTTAGCTACAGTTGCCCTCTGAGAGCAGCTAATGACATCTCTGGCCCACTCAATTCACTGTACTTTGTGTGTAAGTGTATTTATTCATCCATCACTGAATCAGGGTCTGCAGGACAGAACTCTGGAAGTGGTGATCAGTAGCTCAGGTGGTGTCTCTGACATGATCAATGCCACAGTGATGGTATTAGGAGGCAGGATCTTTGGGATGTGATTAGGTTATGAGTGGGATTAGTACTCTATGAGAGACCAGAGATCTAGTTCAAAGATGGCTGTCTTCTTGCTATAGCAAGAAGACAGCCATCTTTGAACTAGAAAGCAGATCCTTGCCAGATATTGAATTTGCCAGCACTCTGATCTTGGACTTGCTTCCTCCACAACTGTGAGAAATAAATTTCTATTGTTTTTTTTTTTTTTAGATGGAGTTTCGCTCTTGTTACCCAGGCTGGAGTGCAATGGCGCGATCTCAGCTCACCACAACCTCCGCCTCGTGGGCTCAGGCAATTCTCCTGCCTCAGCCTCCTGAGTAGCTGGGACTACAGGCACAGGCCACCATGCCCAGCTGATTTTTTGTATTTTTAGTAGAGACAGGGTTTCACCATGTTGACCAGGATGGTCTCAATCTCTTTACCTCGTGATCCACCCACTTTGGCCTCCCAAAGTGCTGGGATTACAGGCGTGAGCCACCGCGCCTGGCGATTTCTGTTGTTTATAAGCCACACAGTCTATAGTATTTTTGTTATAGCAGCCCTAACAGACTAAGACAGAAATTGATACTGCAAATAGGATGTTGCTGTAATCAACAACTAAAAATGTGAAAGTGGCTTACAGGGTAATTAAGAGTTTTGAAATATATGTTAGAAAAAGACTCAACTGGCTGGGCATGGTGGTTCATGCCTGTAATCCCAGCACTTTGGGACGCTGAAGTGGGTGATTCATGACGTTAATGGTTTGAGACCAGCCTAGCCAACATGGCAAAACCTCATCTCTACTAAACACACACACACATACACACACAAAATTAGTTGGGCATGGTGGTGGGCACCTGTAATTCCAGCTACTTGAGAGATCGAGGCAAGAGAATCACTTGAACCCAGGAGGTAGAGGCTGCAGTGAGCTGAGATCACCCCACTGCACCCCAGCCTGGGTGACAGAGTGAGACTCTGTCTCAAAGAAAAAAAAGAAAAGAAAAGAAAAAGCCTAAAATGCTGTAACCAGGCCTTTATAGGATATTCTGGTGAGGGCTCAGAAAGAAAAGAGGAGAGCTGTAAAGAAAGCCTCAATCTCCCTTGATAATGCCTAAATAATCCTGAACAGAATGTTGGTAGAAATACAGACGGTAAAAGCCATTCTGATGACTTTTAGACATAAATGAGACTTACATTACTGGAAACTGGAGACAGTTGATCCTAACTATAAAGTCGCAAAGAATTTGGCTGAATTGTTTGTATTCTAGTATTTCGTGACAGGTAAAACTTGCAAGCAATGAAATTAACTGTTTAGCTGTGGAAATTTCTGAGTAATGTGTTGATTGCTCAGATTGGCTCCTCCTGACTACTTATAGTAAAACATGACTACAGAATTGTTAAGCAAAAAGAAACCAGAACCTGAAGATTTGGAAAATTCTTAGTCTATCATATTGCAAAAAAAGTAAGACCACTAATAGTGTGGCCAAGTGCCTGTTTGATAAGGATGTTAGTATGGATGAGTCATCTTAATAGAATCCAGGAACTATTCTTCAAGACAATGGAAGAATTATTCAAAAGCAATTCAGAGCTTATCAGGGCTGCCACTTGTACCAGAGGCCCAGAGTGCAAGGGCCATGTGGTGGGAGAGCAGAACAGTTTTGTTTTTTTTTTTTTTTTGAGACGGAGTTTCGCTCTTGTTACCCAGGCTGGAGTGCAATGGCGCGATCTCGGCTCACCGCAACCTCTGCCTCCTGAGTTCAGGCAATTCTCCTGCCTCAGCCTCCTGAGTAGCTGGGATTACAGGCACGCGCCACCATGCCCAGCTAATTTTTTGTATTTTTTTTTTTTTTTTAGTAGAGACGGGATTTCACCATGTTGACCGGGATGGTCTCGATCTCTTGACCTCGTGATCCACCCACCTCGGCCTCCCAAAGTGCTGGGATTACAGGCTTGAGCCACTGTGCCTGGCCGAGCAGAACAGTTTTAAAGGATCAACTCATCTCTTCAATTTAGGTAGGCCAGGATGCCCTTGCCCAGTGCCCTGGGGATGAGATCCCTACAGACAGCTGCAATGTGGGCTGCACCCAGCAGAGCCATGGGGGACTGGGCTACCCAGAAGACCTGCAGGCAAGGAACCCCAGCCTGGGAAAGCCACAGGGGCCCCAGAAGGAAGCTGCTGTGGGGCCATCCCATCAAGCTGTGGGGATAATGCTGCCACCCAAATGGGCCTGGAAGACAGAGCATCAGCCCAGGAAAGCCATGGGTGCACGACTGCAGCCCAGGAGACCTGTGGAGGTGGGGTTCCTGCCCCAGTGAGTCTAAAAGACAGAGCATTGAGCCAAAGGGAATTCTTCTAGAGCCTTACAGTTTAAGGTTTTTTTTTGCCCTGTTATATTTTGGACTTACTTGGGACCCATTACCTTTTTCTTCTTTCCTATTTCACATTGCTTCTCTTAGAAGGAAAATGTCTATCCTATACCTCTCCCATCACTCTAGTTTGGAAGCACGTAACTTGTTTGGTTTCACAGATTCGCAGCTGGAGAGGAATTTGCCTCTGGATAAATGATATTTTTAATCTCATTCCTAACTGATTTAGATGGTATTTCGATAAACTTTGGACTTTAGAAGTGATGCTAGAATAAAGACTTTGGAGACTATTGGGATGGAATGAATGTATTTTGTATGCAAGAGGACATACATTCTGGGGATCTTGGGGTAGAATGTTATGGGCTGAATGTGTTCCCCCTCAGATTTACATGTTGAAATCCTGATCCCCAATGTGATGATGTTGGGAGGTGAAGCCTTTGGGAGGTAACTGGGTCATGTGGAATGGGATTAGTGTCCTTATAAAAAGACACCCCAGAGCTCTCTTGCCTGTCCGCCATGGGAGGATCCAGCAAGAAGCCAGCCATTTATGAACTAGGAAGGAGGCCCTCACCAGACACCCAATCTGTGGCATCTTGACCTTCAACTTCCCAGCCTCCAGAACTGTGAAAAAGAATTTCTATTGTTTTAAAGCCACACGGTCTATGGCATTTTTGCTTTAGCAGCCTGAACAGACTAAGATAAGTTCTTAGAAAAATTATGAAGTAATAAGACAGTTCCTTAAAAAGAAAATAATCCAATATCCCCATCTCAGAGCCAAGGCTACTGAAGAAACAATCATAATTTCATTTCATACCCCAAGAACAACCTGAGGGTCCTGAATATGCCACTGGAGAGTGGTCCAGTTATTTATGCTGTGTAACAAACCATCCTAAAACCCAGGGGCTTGAAAAAGCAGCTTCTTACTCTCTCAGTCTCCTATGGGTTGACTAGGCTCCACTGGGTGGTTCTCACTTG